ATAGCACTTTTAGATAAACAAGGCAATAATAGATGCACTCGTGGAGGTAGGAAAACAAAGTTCTTTATGAACCGCAGGATTGCTTGTAATAAAGATTTCAATGCAAAAGGAAAGGCAGTAGAGCTGACTATTTCTGTCAATGGTAAGTTTGTGATAACATAAGAAAAGTAGTTTAAATGTTTTGCCACTTGCTTGAGCAACTTAATATATAAATCTAGAATTAAATGCAAAAGTAAAAAGCATTGAATGATGTGTTGCTTATATTTATTGTGTTTAAACATGTCTGTGAAAGACTATTATTGTACTGTGTAAAAAAATAATTGCAATGCTGAAAAAGCATTTTCAGTGACAATGTTTGGATTTGAAATCAAAATAATGGAATGATTATAATGTTGGAATAAATGTTGTGTTTGTGGTAAACAGCCACAGATCAGTAGCAGACTCCTGTGTGAAAGCTGCTTCCACTCTCACAAGAGTCACCTAAGAGGAGAATTTCCACAATTTAAAAAAATGAAATTCAGGCCCTGAATAAATGTCTAAAAATGATTGAAGTATCACTATAAATAGTTATAAATTATAAAAAGAAGGCTTTAAAAAGATCGGTATCTGTGATTGGTATCGGCAGATACTGCTTTCGGTGATCGGCCTCAAAAATCATGATCGGAGCACCCCTAGTAATGGCATAGGCCTGTTGAATTAACACACATATTTAGCCTTCTGTAACAGGTGCTTCAAGATCAGGTATATATGCAAAAACGAGCTTTCTTTACACACAGATAGAGACCAAGAGAAAGAAAGAGAGTGATATGGTATTCACTTGTGCTGTTTGTAAAATTACAGTTTGACAAAGATTTCAGAATTGATCTGGTTTTCCTGCATTGAATGTGCAGAGCTTGCAGGAGTAAAATTATATGCAATACCCGCAATGCCATGTAGAAATTCAAACTCTTTTTAAAGATTGATATGTGTATCGGTACAATACCATCATGCAAAATATTGCAATACTATGCCAAAACAGTTTTAGCATAGAATTGCGCCTATAAATAAAAGATACTCTAGAAAAAATTAAAAGTAGGGATAATGTGAACTTGTTGGTCCACATCACAATCCAAGATTCGAAAGAGTCAGACAAATGCAAAGGTTTTTAGCAAGGTTCATTATCTATGTTGCAAAGTTGTCTGTTAATAAATTTGCCTTTTGCTCTTCTCTGTGTTTATTCCTCCGGTGAAAGCAAACACCCAACTCGGCAGGTGAGATCTTATCAGCTTTTAGATCAGTACATTAGGTAGTATACCATTAAGGTTAAAATGTAAATACAGACTGCTTCGAGGGTTGCTACTGAAACGTTACCTCACTCCCTAAGCTATGCGCATTTATGATTATTGTGACTCAAGCCCTTTGTGTCATTCACCCTGTTTTCTTACAGTGGGTCTCATTCACTAACTATACACAAGTAATTGAACATAAAATGTTTTTTTTTTTGCAAACGTTATAGAGCAGAATTCAAAGATTAAATAATTTGTGTTTCCAAAGATCAACTTTAAATTAATGTTGTTGACAGCAACAATAATATAATGTGTAGGAGAAAAGTACAATTCAACCTCCAATATCGATGGATAACAGTGGGCATAGAAAAGAATCATCCTCCTTTAAAAGAAACACATTTTGTTGCTTTACAGCCTGTTTTTGTTTTATCTAGCTGTATTAACTCAGTGCAACTTATAACATCCAAGTGAAACATATAACACCAACATGTCAGAAAAAAAAAAAACAGAATCACTGAGTTGTTAAAAAAAAAAGATCACCCCCCCTCCGAAAAATGACTTCTAAACTCAGTCAGGTGTAGCTAATCACCTTCTCAATGGCACACAAAGCCATTTGACTTTCAACTGTGATCAGCTGTGGTCAGTTTGATTAGCTCAGCATGAAAATATCTTTCCTGGAGCATTTCAGTCCTTGGTAGTGCAACTGAAGCAAACAATCAACTATGGGTGGCAAGGCACTGTCAAAAGATCTCCGGGATAAAGTTGTGGACAGGCACAAAAAAAAATACTTTTATTAAGAAAAAGGTATTTGGTACAACACAGACCCTCCCTGGATCAGGTTGTCGCTCCAAATTGGATGAAAGAGCCAGGAGGAAACTGCTCAGAGAGGCTACCAAGAGGCCTACAGCAACTCTGAAGCAGCTGCAGGAATTTATGACAAAGAGTGGTCATTGTGTGCATGTGACAACAATATCACAAATTCTCCACAAATGTGGCTTGTATGGGAGGGTTGCAAGAAAAAAGCAACTCCTCAAGAAAGGCCACATGCAGTCACGACTGAGCTTTGCCAAAATACACCTTGAAGATTCTGAGGCAGATGAGACTAAGATTGAATTATTTGGCCTCAACACCAAACGAAATGTCTGACGGAAATACAATACAGCTCACCATCCAAATAACAGCATTCCTACAGTAAAGCATGGAGGTGGTCATATCCTGTTATGGGGGTGTTTCTCTGCAGCAGGGACTGGAACACTTGTCAGGATAGAAGAAAAAATGGATGGGGAAAAATACCATCAAATTCTTGAGGAAAATCTGCTGCCCTCTGCCAGAAAGTTGTCAATGGGAAAAAGGTTTACCTTCCAGTATGACAATGACCCAAAGCACACAGCAAAACTGAGAGCACAGCAAAAAAGGTGAATGTCCTTGCATGGCCTAGTCAGAGCCCAGACTAAACCCCATTGAAAATCTGTGGAATGATCTGAAGACTGCAGTCCACAAACGGTCACCATCAAATTTATCTGAAGTTGAGCAGTTCTGCAAAG